TTTGATCAAATATTGGTTTCACTGCCATCCAACAGTTCCAAACCCATGATCCACCTTGCTTTTTCCTGGCTTCAAAAAAAGTAGAGTTAGGGTAGTATCTGCTTTTCAGAACTCCACTGACCAGACTATTAGGCATGGTGTTCAATCTCCAAAGTTGCTTCATAAGCATAACATCATTAAAGAGTTGGATATCTTGAAATCCCAACCCTCCTGCCTCTTTGGGAGTGGATAGTAATTTCCAAGATTTCCAATGGACCCCTTTCTCCTAAAACTCTTCCTTGGACCACCACAAGTGAGCACAAATTCTAGTAATTTCTTTACAGATTCCTGCAGGCAATTTAAAGCAGCTCATAACGAAGACCGACAAGGAATTAAGCACTGATTTGATCAAAACTTCTCTCCCAGCAGTGGAGAGAAACTTATTTTTCCAGCTAATAATTCTATTCTTCACTGTCTCCAAAACAAAGTTGAAAACTTCCAATTTCGACTTACCAATACCCAAAGGAAGTCCAAGGTACCTAGTGGATTTATGTACCTTGATTCCTTCAAGTATTTTGCAGACAACCTGTTGAATGTTCATAGGGGTGTTCCTACTGAAGAATACTGCCGATTTGTCCCAATTGACCAGCTGGCCAGAAAATCTTCTATATTTTTCTAAAATATGAGCAAGCTAAAATGCTTGGTTAGCGTCGGCTCTGCAGAAAAGAAGAGAATCGTCTGCGAAGAAGAGATGAGATAGCAGTGGGCCATTTCTAGAAATTATCAGCCCTTTAATTCCACCCAGATCATTATCACAAGAAATCAAAGAGGAAAGACATTCAACAACCAGAATAAAAAGATATGGTGATAATGGGTCACCTTGCCTTATTCCTCTAGTAGGCAAAATCTTACCTGTGACATCACCATTAACAGAACAAAAGAATGAGGCCGAACAGACACATCCCGTAATCCACATGACAAACTTCGAGTGGAAACCCAGCTTTATCATAATCTGCTTTATACTCTCCCACTCAATTCGGTCATACGCTTTCATCATGTCCAATTTCAAAGCCATAAAATAATTTTTGCCAGACCGTTGCCTGCTTAAGAAGTGGAATACCTCTTGAGCCACAATCACATTATCTATTAACTGCCGGTCGGGGATGAAAGCCGCTTAGGATTAACTCACACACACACTTAAGCAGATCTTTAACCTGTCAGCCAAAATCTTAGAGATAATCTTATATAACACCCCACAAAGACTTATCGGTCTGTATTGGCTCAGAGACTCTGGATTTACACACTTAGGAATTAAAGTCAATAATGTGTTATTCCAGTACCTCAGCATCCTGCCAGATTGAAAAAAGCTGAGAATGGCAGCACAGACATCTCCCTTGACAGTAGGCCAGAATTGCTGGTAAAAAAGGGCCGTCATGCCATCTTCCCCCAGAGCTTTCTCTGTATTCATGCTAAAAAGAGCTGCTCTTATTTCTTCCTCGTCCACCAGGGCAATGAGATTGTCATTCATATCTTGATTAATGGAAGAAGGGATGTATTGAAGAACTTCCTCCCAGCCAGAGGATCCTTCAGATGAAAAAAGAATGGAGTAAAAGCTTGTGATGCATTGTTGGATGTCTTCTCGAGAAGTGCAGACCTTACCATTAGGATCAATGAGCCTCGAAATAGCATTCCTCTTTCTTCTTTGAGCTGTATAGGCATGAAAAAAATGAGTATTATTATCTCCTTCCTTAAGCCATTGTATTCTTGCCTTCTGCCTCCAAAAACTTTCTTCATCTGCAGTGATTTTATTAAGCTGGTTCTTCGTAACCTCCCATTCCTCCCAGTACCTTTCTCTTCCCATCTGATTCAACACCTCCAATCTGCTAGACAGCTTCCTATTTGGCTAAGGTTAATAGATTTAGACAATCTGCTCCACTTGAGAATGGCAAGTCTGGTCTTTTTGACTTTTTCTTTAACTATAAACATGGGAGTACCCTCCTGATGCTGAGCCCAGGCTTCTTGAATCACATCCTTGATGCCTTCCTTCCCCACCCATCTCTTGTCAAAATAAAATCTACTCTTCGGTTTTTTGATATGAGGCTCAGAATCAAAGCTCAAGAGGCAGTGGTCAGATGAACTTTTGAATACACTAGTGACAGTAGAATCAGGGTATCTTGTCAACCAGCCCAAAGAAGAGAAGGCTCTATCAATTTTCTCCTCCACAAATCCCTCATGATCTCTATTATTTCCCCAAGTGAAAAAATTTCCAAGCATAAGGACTTCTTGCATCACCATCGTTGCAATGAATGAATTGAACTTCAGACAGCTTCCCTGGGATCTAATTCTTCCTCCTCGCTTCTCCTCTGGGTGACAAATATCTTTCCAATCACCCAAGATAATCCATTCATCTCCCCAAGCTGATTTCTGTTGCTCCAGCACTTTCTATTGCTCCTCTCTGGTCTCCCTGAGAGGGCTCATGTAAACACAAATAAGCCACTCAGATTGACTATTCTGGCCCAGCCTATATTCCACCTCCATACAGAATTCATGTTTGATCAATTGCAGTACACAGATTTCAGTATCCCACATAATAAGAAGACCTCCACTCAATCCATGAGGCTCCACAGCATCCCATCTTTGATCAAAACCCAACTTCTTACAGATTCTAGAAGTACCAGAAAGAGAATTTTTAGTTTCCGAAAGAAAAACAAAATGCGGGTGGTGGGTCCTTAGGGACTCCTTAATCTGGGGAACTGTAGAGGGCCCTCCCAGACCTCTATAGTTCCACACTGTAGCTCTCGTTGATCACTCTGGGGCCACTCCAGGCTGGCCTTCTCCACCTTATCTGAACTCTGCTTCATCTTCTTACCCCCTTGGTTAATGACACTAGATTCCCCAATTTCCTGTTGAACTGCACCTTCACTTTGTCGAGGTCTTTTCAACTTCTTGAGATTTTGAACCTCACCTGATATTGGTGCATTGTCTTTGCTTACCACCATGCTTTTTCTCTTCCAGGTTTTGGACTTCTTCAGGATTGGATGAGGATCTTCAATCATTTTATCTGCTTCCTTAGTAATCTCCTCAGAACTCTCACCCTTTTTAGGGGGTATTTGTGCCTCAATCACTCCTAAAGATACTTCTTTCCCTCCCAGATGGTCTGATTTAAGAGTCTCTTCTAGTAATAGATTAAGTCCTGACAAGCTGCTAGGGCTGCTCCTCACTTAACCCCCATTCCCCTGATATAGAACTGCAACATCGACCAAATTAGATTGACTCATCGCCATCTCTGATGGAGCTTGTTGATGCAGCTGAGGAGCCACCTTATCTGAGGATTTCGAAAGGATGTGATGGCCTACTCTCTGTGAATTGATTGAACCAGAAGCACTAGTCGATAGAGCGCCAGAATTGTGCTGAGCTTCCTCCACCTTCATCCATTCCCCATATTGGCCTTCTTTCACAGATCTTGTTACTATATCCTGCAGCATGTTCTGACAGTTGCGGTCCAGATGTCCGACCTTCCCACAATAGTAACAAAGATTGACTAATCTTTCGTATAGGAATATCACCTTTGCAACCTGATCTCCCAGCTTGATACTAGCACATCTCAAAAGGGCTTCATTAACATTGATTGTAACCAGGAGCTTGAATTGCTTACCCTCCACTTCTCCAGATTTGATAATGACCACATTTTTGATATTTTTGAACAGCCTCCCTATCTTCAGACCCACCTCCGTACTTTGCCAGTTAATTGGCAAATTATAGACTCGAACCCATAGATCCAATTCGTCAAAACAGGGATGATTCTTATGAATTTTGTCAACCCACTCGTGGAGTATCAAATACTGGTTTTCATACAACCAGTTAGTTCCTGCTTTAACCTTTACAAGGTCTTCCCTACTGTCAAAGAGGAATTGAAATAAATTCGGTCCTACCTCTCTGACCTCCACCGATTGTTGGATTTCCAAATATGCTCCATTGTTCGCTTGATACCAAAAAGACTTGCCCTTCTATCCCCAATAATCTTCCCAAATAAGCTCCGACGGCATTCTTCGGCGCTTAGTTTAATATCCTCCGAACCAAGCTCCACCGGCGTATCCTCCGCTTCTGACAGTGAAAATTTCTGCAAATGTTGCTCTAGCTCATCCTCTGCTGAGATATTCGATGATTGTTCTTTGACTGTATCCTCCATCGCTATAGAGATTGAACCCCCAATAGCCGGATTACAACGATTGACCCCCAAGAGACGGAATGCGAAAAAGCGAATGATGAGAAAATTAGGGTTCTCAAGAGAGAGAATTGGGGCTCTCAAGAGAGAGAATTTGAATTTGAATGGATGTATTGGAGGTAACAATTCAAATGAAAGTCCTATTCTTTTAACATTCAATTCATGTAGATTAAACATTATTCTATTGATTGACATGTGATCAAATTTAATTAATGTTAAAAATTGAACATTGGATGCTCTTACTCCAGTCTTTTTATGTGATTTTTTTTTTTTTTAAGCTATTGGTAGTTTTATTAATTGACTAAAACATCCTCATCTCATACTACTTTCTCAAAATCATTTCTCCTTCTCCTTAGGGTTTCTTCTCTCGCAAAAAAGGAAAGAAAAATCAATCATCCCCGCCTTTGCCCAATAATCCCGACCACGAAGAGTTGCCTGACGACGACAAGGCGGAAATAGAGAGAGAGAGAGAGAGAGAGAGAGAGAGAGAGAGAGAGAGAGAGAGAGAGAGAGAGAGACAGAGAGGATATAACCGGCGACGGGATAGACAAAGTGAGACCCGACGACGAGGGCCGAAGCTCCGCTGCTACCGGACGGCGTCGTTTCATGCTTCGTCGACTACAACCGGCGTCCCTTCGTCCGATCGAGATACGGCTGCTCGAAATCCGCTTCATTCATCATCGGTAACAAAATCGAACGCTCGAGATTCATTTTCCAGTAATCTTGAGCTCCATTAATGGCGTCCTTTTTTCTGTGAATTTATTGCTTTAGGGGTTGAGGTGGCGGAAAGATTTTCATGCTACGGCATAAGCTTGAACCTGATGACCTATTTCACGGGCCCATTGGGTTTGTCCATGACGGCGGCGGCGAATATCGACGCCTGGAACAATATGACGATGCTCTTGCCTCTCACCGGCGCTTTCGTCACCGATCTGTTTTAGGCAGGTACCAGACCATTATCGCTGTCTCACTACTCTACATCTTGGTTAGTAGTACTCAATAGCTAATTCATTTGTCAGAGAAAATAATCGAAAAAGATAAATTACTTATATGAGGCATTTTTTTCTTTTCTTTGTAATAACCATTAGATCTTTGATTACTTCAAAAGTTGTCTTTTTTTTCATTTTTTTATTTTTCCTCTTTGTTGTATTTGTCTTTGTGTTAATTAGAATACAGGCCACTTAGTGGGCCGGATCCAAAGTGAGACCCGGCGAGGCGGGCCGAATCCACGCTGCTACCAGACGACGTCTAACACAAGGTCGATACGATGCAAATAAGGTTTGTGTGCCTCACGCATCAAAGGAGCCGGTACGTTTTCGATCTGTACCACCGGAGGAAGGAGATATGAAAGGAATTGTACGAGTTCTGTCCAGATCAGGGGTACGCCGACCACAACCTGATTGCAAAGTGGAAGAAGCTCGGCTACGAGAGACTATGCTGCCTGAGGTGTATGCAGCCCAGGGACCATAACTTCCAGACGACATGCGTTTGCCGAGTCCCGAAGCGTCTGCGCGAGGAGAAGGTTGTGGAGTGTGTGCACTGCGGCTGTGGGGGCTATGCGAGTGGGGATTGAAGATTGCGGTCGTCGTACTGTCAAATTCATCTTGGAATAGGTATTGTTTTTACCCTTCATTGAATTTTTTATTAAAACCCTCACATGGTTTACGTTTGAATTATTCGAATTGAATCCTCTTATGATGTGAGTATATATGGTGCCTAAGAGGATTGATTTCTATCATAAAGAAGACATATTTTTTTTTTCTCCTTTTGTTGTTAGACTGACAGGACGTTGGTTTTGAAAAAAGATTCATTAGAGTGAAATTTTCTCTTAGAATGCATTTGAGTTAAAGGGGAAATGGTGGCTTCTACTTTGCAAACAGAAGAATAGGAGCTATCGGTTTTCAGGACCTTAGTATGTTGCATATAAACCAAAAGAAACAACTATGAAAGCTCAGGACATTAGTTTGTTATATATAAACTGAGAGAAATAACTATGGCAACACATGAACCAGCTAACTATTTATATGTTATTGACGATTTCTTTGTTAGATAGGCACTGTATTTTAATTGAAAGTCTATTTATGATCATTTGATTGGTTTGGCTAATATGTTCAAAATGCCAGTGATGACAAGAGTATTTACAAGAGCTCCAGCAAAAAAAAAAAAAAAAAAGAAGTGCGCATCCATGGGAGTAACCATAGTGTTGGTGTTTCTATGATGAATGTGCCAATATGCTAATCTGAGGCCTTTTATAATTATAACCTGGTTTTATATATACTATCTGGTTCTTTTCTCTCCAGAATTCATGTGATTTTATTTAACATTTTATTATTTGAGTTGATTTGTCTTGCAGTGCCATGTCTTGAAAAAGAAGTTTTGAATATATACTTTGTTTTGGATTTTGTCAAGAGTCATTTTTTTCTTAATAAATATGAACTGGGTGTACGCGACTAAATGTTATTCTATCCACTCAAATAATTGTTCAGGAGTAAATGGCTCCTTAGATAATACAAACTAATTTTGCCTAATAACATTTGAGACAGATTGTCTGTTGTGTTCCATATGTTCCTTACATATGAACTGGTCATATGTAAATGTTCGGTAGAATGAGGAATTCGTCTACTGAACCATGGTACTTTCAATTTTTTTATATGTGGTTATGTCTGTGGTTTTTAAGTAATAAAAGCTATAGTGGAGTGTTGTATAGTTTGTATGCCAATTTTACGTTTATTATAATCTATGTCATGTACCAGTGAATTATTGAGCTTGGGTGATTAATTTCATTTAAGATATTTACTTGCTCATGAGGTTGTCTGTTTCATTTGTTTTACAGAGTAATGTCAAAGTTTTTTATTGGATGATAATGTTGAGGCAACCAAGGGTCTCCCTCTGATGGTGATGGCAAGGATGGCAAAGAAAAACTGTTGTGTTTGATGTGACCAATGAAGTGGTCTTTCCTTCAAAGTTAGTGATTATTGATTACAATCAGTGTTTTCAATAGCGCATTTTAGCGCGCTATATAGCGCGCAATAGCGCTTTTTTGGTGAAAAACGCGCTGTAGCGCATGTAATTTAGCGTTCTTCCCTAATAGCGTGCGCTTTGTATGACGTGACACGCTTTTTACGCGAAAAATTATGCGGTTTACGCAATAGCGTTTAGCAAGGAAGCTATTTCGGACACCAATTTATAAGCAGAAATTAAAAAATTAAAAATAAAAAACAAAAAAAAATGTAAAAGCGAGCCTGCGTCTTTCTCACTTCTCACCGTCGAGAAACAAAAAAAAAAAAAAAAAA